CTCTGTGCCAGGTCTCCAGCCTGGCCACCACATCCGGGCCACCATGGTGATGAAGGGGCCATGCCGGAGCGTGATGCGGTGGGTCAGGGTGCCGGGGGTTCCTTCCCCACCACTGTCACCATCATCCCAGCCCCGCACTCACGCCGGCCCCGCAGCAGCCCCCAGGCAGGTGGGGGGGGTCAGGACCTCCAGCCTCACCGGAGACAGGAGCAGGACTGGGTTGGGAGGGGGCAGTGGTGCATCCCAGACCCCTGGCATGGCCGCCCAGGGCTGCTGCGGCCCCTCTTGTGCTCAGCCCCTTATCCCTGAGCATCCCTGGCCCATCCACCCACCCCACTCTGGCCATGGGGTGCCAGGAAGGATTTGAGGTGGGGAGAGGGACAGGGATCCCTGCAGAGCTGCCAGGCCCTGTCCATCCAGGGCTGGTCAGGACTAGGGGGCAGGCGGTGCCATGTCCCCAGCCCCAGCCCTAGGCGTGTTCCTGGGGCCACCGGGGACGAATCTGCAGCATCACTTCCCCAGCCCGCCACAAGCTGCTTTGTTGTGCCGAGAGGGACAGGAGCTGAGCACAGCAAACTCATGCCACCAGTGATCCACTGCCCCATGGCCCTTCCCACACCACACAAGGTCATCACACAGGTCATGTCTGAGGGCAACCCTGGCCTACCACTGCACAGGAGCATGGGTCTGCCCTTGGGCACCCTGCCTGGGAGCCCACCTTCCTTGGGAGCCATTCAAGCACCCCACGAGGGGCTGGAGGCAAAGCAGGTCTTCCCCCAGCATCGCTCATAATGGCAGGTGGCAACACATACCTTGTACTTAGTGGCCAGCAGCTCGGTGGCCTCCTGCTCCTTTCGCAGATCTTCTATCATCTTCTCCTTCTCCTGCAGCAGCTTCTGCTTCTCCTCACTCACCAGGCTGTGGTCATCCTGGATAGCGGCTTTCTCCTCTTCCAGTCTCTCCTTCTGCTCCTTCAAGTAGTTCTCCATGTTCTTCTCCAGGCCGTCCTCGTTGTCATCCTCCCCTTCGTTCTCCGTGGCACCTTCTCCATCCAGCGCTTTCTTCCTCCGGCTGCTCCTTCTCCTCTTCTTCCCCAGCATGCCACGTTTCTCCAGCTGGGCTTTCAGCCGGACAATCTCCTCCTGAAACTCCCGCAGCAAGGTGTCCTTGGGGTCCTCGTTCACTCGGGGCTTGTTCTTGATGTTCTTGGCCCTGTTGGCGAACCTGAGGGTGGAGAGGCTCTCCTCATAGCTGTGAGAGGCCGGGCCCAAGGTGGCCACCATGATTGTCTTGGCGTTGCCCCCGAGGGAGTCCTGCAGCAGGCGGGTCAGCTTGGAGTCCCGGTAGGGGATGTGCGTGCTCTTGCCATCCACCAGGGCGGAGATAACGTTGCCCAGGGCGGAGAGGGAGAGGTTGATCTTGGATGCCTCCTTGGGGCGCTCCCCGTGGGCCCCCATTTTGCTCTGGCGCTCGCTGCCGGCCAGGTCCACCAGGTTGAGCTTGCCCACGCGGATGTGCTCCTCGCCATCCGGCCCTGTCTCGCTGCACTCGACGGTGATGAGGAAGATAGCGTGGGAGCGGGAGCTGCGCTCGTTCATGTTGGTGCTGCCCACTGCCCGCGCCTGGCTGCCCAGGTTCATCACGTGCTCGATCTCCTTGACGTTCTTGGTGACGAAGGAGGAGAGGTCCTTGATGTACACCCCCGTCTCAGGGTTCTCCTTCAGCTCCAGCTTCTTGCTCTGGTCCTTGGCCAGCAGGTCCCTGATCTCCTCCTGGTAGATCTCCAGGTAGGAGGCCCTCACCAGGTACCGTTGGTCCTGCGAGCGGGAGATGTGGGTGAAGATGTGCTCGAAGGCGCTGGGGATGACGCCGCGCTGCTCCGGCTCCGCCCAGGCACCCTGCATGGTGTAGGTCTTGCCGGTGCCCGTCTGCCCGTAGGCGAGCACGGTGCCGTTGAAGCCCCGCAGCACCGAGTCGACGAGCGGCCGCACCGT